TGAGAAATAATTTTCTCAGGGTTATAAAGAAGAAGCGCAAGGAAGGGTTCGAGCCAGTGTACTTGGACGAGACCTGGGTCAATGCCTCGCACACTGCCAGCAGTCAGTGGGTACCTGATGGGGGTGATAAGGGGTAACGTAGAAAGCTGCCTCTAGGGAAAGGAGAGAGACTAATCATTCTCCATGCTGGTTGCTCCAGCAAAGGCTTTCTCCCAGGCTGCGACTTGGTATTCAGGGCAAAGTCCACAGAGAACAGAGACTACCATTCCGAGATGAAGGGTGCGGTTTTCCTCGATTGGGTTAAAAACAAGTTGGTACCAGCTCTACCAGAGAAGTCTTTTATCGTAATGGACAATGCCCCATACCACAGCGTGCAGGACCCCGACAGTAAAGCCCCGACATCGAACAGTCGAAAAGGTGATATGATATCATGGCTCGACAAATTTCAGATCGCACGGCCTTCAAAGGCAACGAAGACTCAGCTATATGAGATCATAAAAACCCACAAAGGTGAACCTTTCTACAAAGTTGACAGTTACATAAAAAGTAAGGGTCACGATATTCTGCGACTTCCACCCTATCACTGTGACCTTAAGCCAATTGAAATGATATGGGGTATTGTCAAAGGAGATGTTGCCAGATCAAACACAACTTTTAGATTACGTGACATAGAGGTTTTGGTTAAGGAATCCCTTAACAAAATCACGACTGAAACTTGGCACAACTGTGTCAACAAGGTAGCTAACGTCATTGAACTCGGGATGGCTTACAACAGGCAACTGTGGCACCACTTGTCATCGCTTTAAGTCGTGATTATGACACTACGACGGACGAGGAACCGACAGGTCTCCCGGAATAGATTTTGAGATGTCCCCCGCCATGACTGGCTGTTCCGTTTCTGCGGTTTCACCCCGACGCGACAGATAACAACTTTTGCGTTTTCAATGATGATAGTTTCTAAACAACTTTTGGGTGGAGTCCGGAAAATTTTCAAATATAAGAAAGCTGTTGGGTATTAGTAAATGATAAGCATGTGTACTATTTATAATTATGTGGCAATTTTGTACAATGATAAAATTTGCAATTCATGGGTCTTTCTGACTCAAACGGACTGTATATATTAGACATGGCTTCTTTTCCCGGATGCCGCATTTGAGGTGTTTGTTTGCTCCCAGGTTTTACTTTTCGTCAGTAAGACCTATTTCCCGGTTTTACTTTTTCCTAACTCTATATTAACATCAACATTCACATTCAGATGATATGTTAGTATTTGAAATCAATTGAAACATATAGTCAAAGATCAACTTAAATGTGCAAATGTTTTCCCTAGCAGGATTGGAACTGTATATTTCAGATTCATAAACGGACTCTCTACCTCACAGCCACCGGGCCGACAAACAACAAGGGTTGAAATATCTATTTATAGGTAGGCTTACTGTCATTCAATTGATTTTACTAGCGCTTCAGTTACTGTTATGTAGCTTCATTACATGATCATCTAATTATCCATCATTGACGATTTATATGTATAATAAAGCACTCCTCCTCGGTTATGGCTACGCGCTCTCGGTCTTACTTCTCCCCACCCTCCGATCTCGGGTCTTACTTTCCCAACCATAACCGCGGAGTCGTGCTTTATCCTACAGGTAAAGTTTTCAAAAGGTTTTAAAGAACCACTAAACTTTGTTTTTTGTTACTCTTTTAACCATTACATATGAAAGATTTGTGGTTAGTCTTATGCGGAACACCAAATTTATTCTTTAAAAACTTGTGGTTAATTAATACCGAGCGATTAAAAGTGGCCAAAAAGTCGCCTGCTTCCCTCTCGCCCGCCAACGAAACCACAGACAGGTTACGTAACTCTGTCGCCAGAGCACTGCAGTGACGTCATATGAGGAACGATTTTCAGTTAGTTGTATAGAAAGTGTGTAGCACGCTCATCATTTTGTTGATTTCTCGACATGAACGACGACATGCCGAATCGTTGCTTTGTCGTCAATTGCCCTAGGGTCGGGTGATGGTGTCACCATGCACAGATTTCCACAGGACCCCACAGTTCGTGCTAAATGGGTTATGTTTGTGAGTGCGAAGCGAGCGTTGTGGAAGCCTGAAACGATATCTTACTTGTGTTCAGATCGCTTCACGGAAGTTAAAGAATCAAAACTACTTACTAGTTATAGTAAAATATGTATATGATTGATGACCATAAAGATTTTCCATAACACAACTTGTAACATAACGATTTCTTCCTCGGAAGTGAGGTTGTGGTCGAAGTAACAATAATATTGTAAGTAGTATTATATTGACACCCACCTCGCTGCCAGGAGAGAAATTGTTATGTTATACGCTATGTCATGCAAAATCCTATTGGTCATCAATAAAATACATATTTTACTACCAGTAGAAAGTAGTTTTGATTTTGTAACTCGGTGAAAACAAACCTAAATAGCATTTATCCACAGACTTGCGGATGTTCCCGACAGGGCGCCGCCATTTTTGAAAATCGTAAAGTCTGTTAGAATTAATGAGATTATAGTTTGTTTTCATCAAGTTAGCAAATCAAAACTTCTTTCTACTCGTAATTAAATATGTATTGGAATCATAACCAAAAGGATTTTGCATGACACAACTTATAACATAACGATTTCTTCCACGGAAGCGAGGTGGGGGTCGAAGTCACAATACTGCGCGATACATTTCTTGCTACATTCACATGGTTAATGTCCACTCACCAGTATGTAGATACTAGTCAATGTGCGTCTTTATATTTGGTCTTATAATCCTAATTAGTTTATTATCATACTTTTATGCATTTTGAAACTAAATAACAAGCTGACGATCTGCTGATACTTATAGTGAATTTATAACAGAACTGTAATATCTAGACATTTTATAGTTTGCCAATGTGAATCATAATTCGCACACACACCCTAGTGTATGTTGTCTGTCTCATTACACTTCACGGCGAAAACAATGATTCTGTTGAATGCTACGACAAATGAATAAAAAACAAAATACAAATATTAAAATTAAAACAGATTAAAGTTATAGGAACAATATCAGGCCATTACCTTGTTTGAGGAATGTATCCATCAATATCCGCAAAACTGTTCCAAATGATGTGTCTTTTAAAAGTTTAATATACGAAAAAGTGATAAATCTTTTCAGGTATTGGTGTATTGTCTCATTGGTCACCCAAGATAGCACACCTGGCAACTAATTGCATAATGTCCGCCTTTCATTAAAAACAGTAATTTAGTTAGCCAATAATGGGCAATCAATCAATGTATTGCCGGTTAATCCTTTGAAAGAAGGACGTTGTTTTTACGCAGACACCGACACGGCAGAGTGTATTCAGTATAGATTAGTAAATCTACATACATAAACACTACCTTTTGACAAATCCGCTGTGTAAGATAAAAGTAATTAATCAATCAGCGTGTTATCGGTTAATCCTTTGATCGATGTTTATAATGTTGAATATTTACTCCAGACACAAGAAATGCCAAATGGGAACCTTTGTCGGGTAATCTAAGTGTGTTACCACTAATTATACCTGTTATAAATTCATTAACTGACCATCAAGTAAATGATGACAAATAACATGTGTAGGTTTATACCACCTAACACGGGTTACAACAAGGGAGTATTAATTGCTGTATTGCATGTGAAAACTTATGGGCCGACACTGTTTTGAGAATACAAACAGATTTTTACATGACATGATTAAATATCGAGGTAAAAAAACACAGAAATGGGATCAATTTGGATCAGTCATTATACAGATAGGGCCTAACGACACCAATCAATTGTGACAGAAGCGTCTATGAAAACAAGTTGTAACTCGGAAACTAGGCAAAGCAGGAGACAAAATTAAATGCCAGTAGATTGTGAGAACATATAGCTTTCATTTTCCACAACAATTGTCAGGATTTCAGGTTTATACAAGCCTGTAAACAAGATAATTTACCCCCTAAAATGTAGATGAATTCTGCATCGGCCCTCAAAGCTATTCCTCATATGACGTCACAGAGTCGCGCCGCTCTGATTGGTTGAAATTTCGTTCGCGGGTGAGTATTGTGCACTGTTGTCAAAAAGGTCGATTTAAGTCAATTAAAGGTCGAAATGAGTAGTTTTAATGACGGGGTTTCATTTATAACGATGCCAGTTAGTGATTTATGTATTTTTACCCCCTAGGGTTTATGTGACCTTTAAGGTACACTTGTCTAGAAGAAGATTGATACATCAGTCAAAAATTATGTCCGATGCAATTTCCTATTTTGTCTTGTACCATTCGTTCCATATGCTTTACTGTTTAAGACGGGTGCCACCGGTGGGGCAGGATACGCTCGCCTTTTCGCAAACATCTGATATCATCACTATTTGATAGTGATTCATGCTCTGTCATCGTATCACATGGCATCAATCACTGGAGTGTTTAGTCCAGCTGTACAGCTGTAATACGACTGAAACAGATACATATTCATGATATAGTCAGAACTGTACCGTCGACTCTACTTTCAGAAGGGATTCTTATGGATTGCAGCAAGGGTTTTGTCGCTTCTATTATAGATGTAGGAAAAAAGGTTTGTCGATTGTATTTCATGTAATTACATAAATAAAATGAACAAAGTTTAGAAAATATTGTTCACGTTATATTGTATTAGTAATGTAAATAATTCTGACTAACCGACCACTTTCCACTATCTTAAACCTGCAGAGGGTCACACTGATAACGAGTATCGGACATCCGGGACCTGGAGCTCGTGTTGTGCTGTTCAGATAGAGTTATGCTAACAAAGTGCAATGAATTAACTGCTACAGTTGTCATCCACTGTTGGTGTATCGCATGCACCAGGTGTACAACGGTGGCATTCAAGCTGAGCAGATAATCTTACTCATTCGTGAACGTCGCCCAACAACTTCCTTGAACAACTTCTTTTACATAATCCTATCAAGATAGAGTTAGTTGGCAATAACAACCATATCGCTTGTCTAAGCAAGTTATAAGATCGATCGAATGCTTTTCTGTGATAGCGTGCACAGGTATAAAATGCGGACGACAGACAGTCACAAAATACTCTGTGACTGAGACATAAACTCACGTTTATTGATTCAGGTAAGAAACTTGACTATATTCTACATTGTTAACTTATTTACCATACTATCTTATCATATCTCAACCATGATCTATTACATAGTAGCTATATGCTTCTACCTCTGGCCTTGCTGTTTGGTTTATACTCTAGTGTGTTTCTCTGATATACTCATGTACTAATGTTCATAACAAATAAGAGGCAGTGGGGTAGCCTAGTGGTTAAAGCGTTCGCTTGTCACGCCGAAGACACGGGTTCGATTCCCCACATGGGTACAATGTATGAAACCCATTTCTGGTGTCCCCCGCCGTGATATTGCTGGAATATTGCTAAAAGCGGGGTAAAACTAAACTCACTCACTCATTATAAATAAAGGATATTTCCTGTGACATGTGAAATACGATTTATCTGTGATCAAGTGACGTGTATATATTGCGTTCTTAACGAGGTGACAGATCATGTTTCGCCAGACGCAACGAATTATTCTTTTTATTATACGCTTCCATTTTTGTAAAATTAATACCGAGAAAATTCGCTTAGCATAATCCAAATTCTCCCAACTGGATACTAAACACTTTCCACTTCTTTGTTCAATTGGGTATTCGAAAAGTTTTTAAGAACCAGATAACACATATCGGTAACAGTTGCTATTTTTTATTCATTGTGATTGTTTGAATAAGATCAGTACTTAAAATAATATCCATGAAACAATCCTTTTGGCCTTAGCCCATACGTTAAAACTCGGTTCTGGCGCACGAATACAAAAGGTGAACTACAAATATATATGGAATTCGTGACCCACTCGTGTTATTTCGGGACAATCTTCTTGGCGATGCTAGTTTCCTTCACCGGAAGTTGGTCATTCGATGCGTGGACTTGCTGACCAAATGCATAATTATAGTGAAATGCATGTGTTTAAATTGCCATTTATTGTGTTGTGGAACAAGATACTGGATAGAAAATAAATTGAGCCGTAAAGTTGTTCCGGCAAAGGGATATTTTCACACTTTTCTCAAACACAGAAATATCAGTCTTTCACACTTAATTATATATATAATAACTAACTGCAGATATAAAAAATTATTATGCTGTTTACCTTTCAATATGTTTTTTGACTATGCACACTGTGTACGTTCTGTAACTGTCCACTCGGGTAATATATTTGTTAGTTTAGTTTAGTTTAGTTGTTGTTTAACGCCGCAATGCTCCAGCTATATGGCATCAGTCTGTAAATAATCGAGTCTGGACCGGACAATCCAGTGATCAACATCATCAGCACAGACCCCGTTAGTCGCTTCTTTACGACAATTATTGGTTGCTAAAGACCAATTCTAACCCAGATCTTCATGGGTAATGTATTAGAGTGTATCGGGCATGCTATATTCAATCATGTGTGAAGTCCTGATTTTTGTATAGTGAGGTAAATAAGGTGAGGTGAGGTGAAATTGGGTTTAACGTCGTTCTTGAGAATATTTCGCTCATATGACGACGTGCATGCGCGTGTATGTGTATGTGCGGCTGCTTGTATTTGCCCAGAGTGAAGATGGTTTTGTAGTGCTAGCCCACTGAGATACCATGCCGCAGTGAAGCATGAATACCCCACTCAGACACATTATACTGACTCCGAGCCGACCAGTCCTTGTTGTACCCATTAATGCCGAACGCCAGGCAGGGACCAACAAGTACCATATTTTAACGTCTTTTGGTATGACGTGGTCGGGGATCGAGCCCGCGACCTTCCGCCCGGCGGGCGGACGCTCTAACCCCTACAACACGGAGGCGGTTGGGTAAATAAGGAAAAATGACGACCATTTTGTGATTTTTATCCTGCACCTGATCTACTGTTCAAATACCTGTGTGACCCAATTATGTAGTTATGTCTCACCTTGTACTGCTGACCTTGGACATGAGAACAGGGTCATGGTTGTCACCTTGCACCTGTGTAACCCCAACCTGTTGCTATGCACATGATCTATTTTTAGATCCCAGTGAGCAATATAAGTTCCCCGAAACCCTTTGGAAATTCATTCTCAGCTAAATATTTGAAGTGAATATCTCTTCTCCGTGAAAACCGTTCTATGTTCTTGACTCTACTGGTTCTAGTGGCTGTTTACCTTGAAGAAAGAAAATCTGCCAACGTGGAACTCGCCTGGGTCATGTCAATCGACGACGTTGGTTTTGAAAAGTCAGATGCACTCCTCGGTAGGGTCGACGTGCTCGAATACCATGTTCACTTAGTCTCCTTGCGCTATCGTGTTGGTAGACAATACCACGTGGATCTTGCTGCATAAATGGCAATACAACTGGTCGCAAAACTTCATCCTTGTATCTTCGAGTATCCAGGCTGCCATGAACACTGAACGCAATTCAGGTAAACGTCCACCTACTGTACGAGCAAAACCTACTCTCGTCAGATGCACTCCTCGGTAGGGTCGACGTGCTCGAATACCATGTTCTGTTAGTCTCCGGCACACTGCATGGCTACAGCTACGGCATCCTAGTGCTGCTAGCACTGTCTGATGTACTGCCTGTTTTTCTTAGTCGGTGCATCAGTCTGATGACACTTGCTCGGGTGCAACCGAAGGTTCTGGCAATGACGATGTGGTTAGCTCCTTGTTAGGCCATTCTGACAGCTCTCTCTTTCGATTTGTCTCGTGGGATATTTTTGTGTTCTTTTCACTACTTTATTGATCACGTGTCGTGTAGGCTGTTTTATACCGTCAGTATCCACGCGCATTTCGTGTTACACCTGAAAAAAGTCGTTTTGGATTTTTTGCGCTGTTTACGCGATTCGTTTACTTGTTCCGCCGTTTGCTCCCGGTAAGGATGGGTCTGTACGTGTGTGACATGGCACGGTATGGTTCTATCACTTCATTTCTATTTTTGTGAGTTTTTATGTAATATTTTGTGGTTTATAGTTTCTTTTGAGCACTAGTTTATAATGCGGTGTGACTTTGACAAATGTATGCAGATATTTTAATAAAACCATGTGTAATTTATTTATCATGTCATTTGTAAACGTAATCCGGGCCTGTAGCCTCCACCACAAAGAAATATAGATTGACTGATTAATATATATGTTATTTTGTAGGAGAAAATAGATTTGTTATGCGTGGCCAGCAAGACAAGGAAATGGACGGGATAGTATCTGATTAGAAATGCTTCCCAGCAACCTGTGTTGTCAAGCTCTGTGACCTGGCTGATAGCGTGTCATCCTAACCTGATAACGTGGATATCAAACACCAGACCACTTTCAGAATATTGCGATTTACAGACCGCCTTCAGAAAAATGGAATACTGACAAGTTTGGAATTGACCAACCAACTCTAACCCACACAAGTGTCATTTGTCACATAATAAAACATATGTTACAAGTTACAACACAACTAAAATAATCTGTTGTTTACACGTTGTATTTGATATGAGGCAGGTTGCGGATACAATGTTGGCAATGGTGTTGGTAGAAAACATTTTCTTCCCCCAACGTTTTTAACTCCAGCTGGCATGGCTTGATGCAGTAATATATGTATTTCAAGGGCCGTTGGTATCCCACGCATTACAATAAGTTGTACCTTTTAATTTCACAACTGAATTGAGGGCTAGATTGTACAGTAAGAGTAAGTGAATCCCGAATATTAAACAAAGCAATTGTAGACTGAGACCCTTTTCAGCTAGAATAAAATCTGCAGTTGGTCCGTACCAATCTTAATAATAATAATAATAATAATACTCAGGAGAGTGCCCGGGTTCTCCACCGGGAGTACAGCCCTTCTGACACTCTGGGTAATGCAGAAGGCTGCAGTGTTGGGTAGCCTTCATATTGTCCGGAAAGTTCTTGGTGGGTTCGACTAGGCAGCGTTTCCCCGGGAGAAGTCCCATTTGCTGTCTGGGCTGCGTGTAGAGGGGGCAAGGGCCCTGAGCTGATGATGAGCCTTACCAGCCTGACTGTGCCAGGATCACCCGAACCCTCTCTGCTGCATACTATCTTCAATCTGTAAAACATAATAATAATGATAATGATAAAATACTCCGGAAAGTTCTTGGTGGGTTCGAATAGGCAGTGTTTCCTGGGAGAAGTTCCATTCGCTGTCTGGGCTGCGTGTAGAGGGGGCGAGGGCCCTGAGCTGATGATGAGCCTTACCAGCCTGACTGTGTCAGGATCACCCGAACCCTCTCTGCTGCATTTTCATCCTTAATCTGTAAAACATAATAATACGGGCCTGATGATGTACGCCTCTCCGTAGTGGGCCTAGATAGGGGAATTTTATTCCCTTAATCAAACGTGCATCACCCAGTTAGGGCTGATCCCCCGAACCTGGTTTATTTACTGGGTTACCGAAAGCCAAGGAGAATACCATCTTTTACCTCCGCAGCCCAGTCAGCCTTCCTCCGGTAAAGAAACAAACCACACTGAAGATGGGACTTGCCCCAGGGGAAGGCACAGCACCCGATCAAGACTATCTTGGTCAAACCACATGAAAACCACACAACTTGAGTGTGCAAGAGCGACAGGATGGCCTGCAAATCCGCGAATAAAGGGCAAGTCGCTTAAGCTGCATTGGGACAATGCCATGCCCATGTATGCTTTCCTGACGGAGCATAATCTCCGAGATCAATTCCGGCGGCTAAAAACTCTCTTGCCCCGTGACCCAGTTCAACCCATAACTGATGCCCGTCAGGAACTATTGCATGAACAGAATGCTCAAGTGGCAGCAAACCCAAAACTTCTAATGGACGTCCGCGTTAACCTCTCTCCTCTTCCTGGTGGAAACTCTTCCGGCATAGAGCCAATTGGCCCCGAAATTTCGGATTCTCTCTCTTCATCATCCTCAGTTGCAGATCTTTCCGAAAATCCTGTGTATATTTTGTTTCATTCTATTTATGATGAAATATCTGATTTGACTTTAGAAAAACGGAGTCCAATTAAACAAACAACTGAATCTTTTCCCAAAAATGAAATTAATTTATTAAATGATATTATTTCTATGAAACTGTCTGCGGACTGTTCGTTACATGAAGTTGT